TTCCCAGACCTCCCCCATATTGGAAGTTTTGTCAGTAGTTGTCAGGCTTGACGGGCGGGTTAGCAACCGCAGTTATATTTTTGGTGTTGTATTTAAGAGGGGCACTGCTACAGTAGTGCCCCTCTTTATTTATCGTAGTAAGAAGTAAGTATTTTATATGATAATCACTATACTTAACGTATAACCTAGATCTCATAATGTTACCACATAAAATTCCATCGACACCCAACAGTGTTGTGAGCTGCCTGCTCATTTACATGGAAATTTATACCATCTACAGAAGACTCTTTTTTATTTATAATTTTAAACCTCCAGAATAAAGTGCATAGTAGCATACTATCATACATGAAATAAATCATTCACCCAGTCGTGATCACAGCCAGTGTAACCCCGTCAAAACGTCAAGATGATTGAGGTAAATAATCATAATAAAATATGAAATAAATCAATGTAAATCAGGTACAGTAGGATCCTGTTATGTAACAAACAACAAAGTACTCACGTATTTAGTTGAACTAATCCTTCTCACTCTGTTAACTGGCTTCTTCTGCGCTCTTCTGTACCGATCTGAAGGAGAGCCTATCACTGCCTTCCCGGCCTTGTCTTCTAACACAAACCAATCCGTCACAGATCCTCTCCTAGCCGCACGGCATGCTATACCACTATCACTTCTACAATTCAACCTACACATTAATTCTTTTTTAAAATCTTCACTTATATCATTAACTTTCCTTATTTGCACTATCTTTGGAGAAGGAATTTCGTTATGTGATAAACTTTTTCTCTTCTCCTGCAAAGCCCATTCTTTATTCCACTTGGTATACGGTTCACTATCACTTAAATAGTTTTCACTAAACATCTCCACTGTTCTATCAAATTCCTTGAGCACATTTGCCACTGATTCTGTCTTGAGTATATTGAAGTTTAAACCACTAGATCCCGAAGTTTCTGTCGAGACGCTAGAGTTGGTATAAGAGGACTGTAAGCTGGAACTTTCTTTCACGCTTTTAAGAAACACTCCGTCATCATCGTCGAAACAAACGTCAGAACCTTTTCCCAACATGTCTGTGCTACCATAAACAAAAGAATGACTAATCCTTGGAAGCATTTGCTGAGGTTCCTTATCATAATCTTCAAGGGGAAATCTGGGAATAGATTCGAAACTTTTACTTCTCACGTACGCGGGTCTGCTCGACTGATATTTCTCTTTACTCTCGGCGACATCTTTATTCCGGAAAAACCAGAAGCGCTTCCTTAATTTACTCTCGCGATCCATGTCCACTTCTTGCGCGGGATTTTGTATAACTTTATCTTCTTCTAGTATTGTTTCTACCGTTGGTTTAGATTTTAATTTCTCTTTGTCTTTACTGAAGAGATTCATACGCGACAATTTCTCGCGGAAACTGACGGTTTTCTTGAGAGGCGATAGCCTATCACCATCTGCCGACGCCGTATCAATAGCCGAATCTTTGTTCTGAGATATGCACGAGATAAAGAAAGATTGTTTTTCATATTTCTGTAGAGCCGAATGTTTCGGATTAGAGTTTTCATTGGGCTCGAGATAAGCCGACGCTCTAGGTATAAACTGTTGTGGTTTTAGCTTCTCGGGCAGGTCACCTAGCAGTCCTCTTTCAATGATATGTAAGCTCTCCGTGCTAAATTTCTTGAGAACGTCAGGCCTCCTGATTACCGGCTTATCTTTGTCCATGGTTCCGTTCGTCATCACCGAATCACGGTGTATTTTCAACTGCCGCATATCGCGCGTGTCTCGATACCGTTGAGCTGATAAAACATTGATAAGGCTCTCTTGTATATACGCTCTCTGGTATTTATTTTGTGATTCGTCAACTGACTTCAACAGTACTTGCGTAAGTATTTAGACATTTTAGCGATTACATTTGTGATGTAATGAAATAAAGATGTGATACCAAGTAAGAACAAAGTGAGAGGTAGACTTTGAGGTTTTTGCTGAAGGTACTTAGGCCACGCATTCAAGCGTCGCATGGGCCATGCTCGTATGCGTACTACTTGCTTCGTCGTGAAAAGGTGACATTATGCTAAACTCGAGCCTGACAATTACATGGATGGGTGTATATAAACATAAGCATACGTGAGCTCCCCGTGTTGTCCCGGCATAGAGAAGGCCACCTCTTCCTTTACCGTGGGTGTCGTAAGACGTGACTAAGGAAGGACGAGGGATGAGCAGCAACGTCTCTCTTAAAACACCTCTAAAGTCTAACTGCGGTTGCAAATCCGCCTGCCAAGTGTGGCAGTTACTGGCAAAACTCCCCTAGGGGCGGTTTATATTCAGCAGTAGACAGTTAATAAAGGTGGTATAATGATGACGATGATATGTGAGCTCGTTGACTATCCAGAAATTAGCATTGAAATGTAATGAAATTTTGGATTTTTTAATCTAATAGAAATATTGATATCTTTCACTTAACACTTTGTCAGTTCCGGAGATAATTAAATATCCATTTATTTAAGTAAATATCTGAAAATTATTATTATTATTAATTATTACGTGAATTCTTCAATTTTATTTTTTTCTCTATTTATTTGTTAAATAATTATATTTTAATATATATTTGTATAACTGAAAAAAAAATTAATAACAGAAAAAATTAATTAATAAATTTGTATAACTGTTATTGCGATATTATACTCGTATATTGATTTGGATTGTCTCAAAGTGGAATTAAATCAAATCACATGTTTGCTCTTCCTAAATATCCTGTATATTTAGAAAGAGCAAACATGTATATTTTTGAATTGTTTTCTCTTTTTCTATCGATGTTTAATTTAGTATTTTTGTTTTTTTAATATGTCAATCCCATAATATCTGAACAGGTTATCTACTACTAATCGTATAACTAAAACTAAACAATTCCACTTACCAATTCACTAAAACAGAAGACAATTTCAGAACTAAGGTCGATCTGTCACTTTTGCATGCTGTTACAATAGTTTAAATTTATTTTAATCCAATTTATGTGCTAATTAAATAAATAAATAAAGTATTAAATCTATATTTCAGTAAAACAATACTAACTGCGTCTTCGCTGACTTTATTGTTTTTTTTAAATAATATAAAACTCTCATTTAAAACAATGCAAAAATCTTCTTATTTAAAACAATGTATAATAGTATAAACGAGTACCTAATAGTAAAAAAATAATAATAAATATAGTAAATTTACAGGGTACAGAGGAATAATACCTGAGTCGTCAGGAATAGCAACGCATGGGGGGTATTATTGGCGAGACAGTATACTCTGTTATATCCACAATCCTGCTCATATCTATAGGCAACGGTTGCCACTTTCCATCAGGTGGGCCGTCAGCTTGGTCACCATTCTATGTTGCATAAAAAAAATACCTCTGTAAATTACATGAGTAACCAGATTCGACCAATGAACAGGACAAAGCATATCTAAAATTAGTATTGAAAGGAATCGATACTGATATTTTATTAATAACCGTCTGTAGGTACATGTCACAATATTCCCACGGTGATTTCTTGTATTTTCTCCATCATCATTTCAGCCGTTAACTGTCCACTGCTGGACATAAGCCTTCCCTAAAAGAGGAGTTTTGCCAGTAGTTGCTACACTTGGCAGGCGGATTGGCAATCGCAGTTTTTTTTTAATGGATGACAATGGAGTGGTACTCACGCCTGCGCTAACGGTATACACTGTCGGGGCACCATTGAATGATGATAGGTGAGAATGAAAACAATACAGATATGTCCATCTTTTATAATATGTCAATATTTTATATTTTGTAAATATTCCTGCACACTATAGTGTGTAACACTTATTTACTAACCATTTATGTAGTTCTTTTTTAAATTTATTACAATTTAAGTTTTTAAGATTTGTTGGCAGTTTGTTATATATCCTGACTGCCATGGAATAACAATTTGAACTACATAAAGATGTTTTTATTGTTGGTAATACAAATTTACTACAATGTCTTCTAGTGTATTTACTAGGAAAGTCTTCTTTATTTTTGAACAAATCAAAATGGGACCTTACAAACTGATATATTTCGTATATGTACATACAAGGTAATGTCAGTAAGTTATGTTCTTTGAACAATGGTTTACAACTTGTCCTAGGTGAAATGTCAAAAATTGCTCGTATACATTTTTTTTTTTTTTGTGAGATAAAAGCTTTATTTATCTCTACTGAGTTTCCCCACAATATCAGACCATATCTTATTCTGGAAACAACGTATCCATGGTAAGCATGGATGGCTGTTTTTTCGCCAGCTACCTTTATTCTCCATAGTGCATAGGAAAAACGGTTAAGTTTATTACATACACTTTCTACATGTTCTTTCCAGGTAAAATTTTTGTCTAAAACAATTCTCAAAAATGTTACTATGTTTGATTCATTTATAACTTGTCCATTATAAGTAACTACGAGATTCGTAGTGTTAACACTAAATTGGTTATGAAATTAAATGGGTCTTGTCATCCAATTTACAATGTCATTAATATCATTATTATAAAAATTCTTATTTTTTTGGAATATGGAATAATTACAGCAATGTAATCAGTCAATAGATTACATATATGTTGAGTTATCATTAATGTAAATCAAGAAAAGTAAAGGCCCAATAATGTTGTCCAGTATCAATGTGCTCGAATTATAACTGTAACACCTATTATTTTTCTATTTTTTAATTAGTTTTTTTTTTTGGTCTCCTCTAATTTCCAATTTTTATCAGACATTCAAGGGTTGACTGGAAGAAATCCCTTTTACATGATAAGTCTGTCGTTCTACTCATTCCCTCCTTAAGAACTCTGTATAATATAATTTAAGACTTTACTGTAAAATAAAGTGTCACAAACAAACAAATAAACAGACCTTTTCCTAAATACAAATATCCAATACCAAAATACGAGTTAACCCATACATTGGTACAAGTAAGGGTAACCTTGAGTACGATGTATAATCAATACTGTACATATTATTCTTTGGTCGGTCTCATTCTACTTTCTACACGACACCAGCGCATTGTTCAATTTTAAATTTATTTCGCCTACTGTAATGTCGTTTGGTTTCAAACTTTCATAAATACAATAAATGTTGATAACAGCATCCACTAATTAAAAGGTTCCCACGTTTATAGCGCACGTAAAATAATATAAAAATGGTGTTTTGTTATAAAATAATCACAGATACGCCGACGAGGTCCGGTGCTTTGTCCCCAAGGAAGGCATCGCCGATGGGACGCATTTCAAATTGTAAGTTTAATAATAGATACTTACCTGTCCCATTCGTGTTTCTACCGTTAAACGTCTAAGCAGTTGTGTTTGTATGGCTGTGTTTCAGTTTCAAAGGTTTTTTTTTTGTTTTAACGGGTGATGATGGAATGGTAACCCCGCCTGCGCTAACGGTATACACTGGCGAGGCACCAGTGAGGGATGATAGGTGAGGATGAAAGGACAGGTCAGTTAGCTCATCGTAATGGAATTCAGCACGATGGTTTCCTGGGGAGATCACGTGACGGTCGACCTGGTTGAGTATATAGCTAATAATGGAGCCCTTAGTCTCCATTATTAACAATCCTCCCCCCCCCCTGTTTCAAGGATGGGCTATGGCAATAAATTTACAGGGTACAGAGGAATAACACCTGAGTCCTCAGGAATAGCAACGCATGGGGGTATCATGGGCGAAACAGTATACTCTGTTATGTCCATAGTACTGCTCATGTCTATAAGCGACAGTTACCACTTTCCATCAGGTGGGTCGTCAGCTTGTTTGCCATACTAAGTCGCATAAAAAAAACTGATTGTTTTACAATTGAAGTCGGTTATTTTGTGGGATACAATCTTTATTATTGTATACTAGCTTTTACACGCGACTTCTTCCATGATCGGGATACGTTTACTGACCAGGCTCCTTCTACATCCCATATAATAGGTGTATACCAAATTTAATAGTGATTGGTTAAGCCATTAAGGCGCTATAAGGTAACAAACAAACAAACTCACTTTCACATTTAATATGAATAAGGATGATCTCATTCTAGTGCCAAGCTCCATGTCGCACTTGATCAACTCTTTGGATTACGAAGCTAGCGACGCCATCGATTCCATTCCTGAACACGACTGGCGACTTCTGGCGGCGCTGGCGAAAAAGAGAGAAGAAAACGATGAAAGGGAAAAGCTTGCCGATCAGTTTAGGAAGATGTGGCAGAAAGAGAAGGAAGAACGAGATCAGGTACTGTTGTCATCGCAGATTAGGTACTGTTACAGCCTTTCATCAATTATCATCATTATCAGCTGTCATCTGTCCACTGCTGAACATAAGCCTCTCCCGTAGACTGTCATAAGGAACGGGGCCGTTCCGGGGGTAGTTTACCATTGGGGGGATCTTGCCAGTAATTGCTACGCAGGCAGGTTGGCTATCACAGTTTGGCTTTTGATGTTTTAAAAGTGGCGCTGCAGCCCATCCCTCGACTATTAAGTTCCCTTAGTTGTCTCTTAGGACACCCACGAGAAACGAAGGGGTGGCCCATTCTATGCGGGGATCACACAGCAAGGACCTTCGACAGTACCTAATGCAAATTAGACGGGGGACAGAGATTTATTTATTTATTTATTTAATAAGGTTCACATACAACTTTTACATCTTACATGCTATTTAATCGATAACACAAAAAAAAATTTTGCCTAATGTACAAGGCTTTTACAGGCAAACACCACATGCACTATTATAATATTTAATAATCGTTAACAATGACAATAACAATATCTGAATAATAAGTAGATCAAGAATTTATGTCTAAGATTTTCCTCAATAAGTTATATCTGCTGTTGATGGGTCCAAAATTGATGTCAATTTAAAGGAAGAATTCAAAGGATTTGAAAGGAAGGGTAGGCCCATTCTGTGCCAGGATCACACAGCAAGCACCTTCGACAGTACCTAATGCAAATTAGACGGGGGACAGAGATTGTTAGTAACAGGGTCTAACTTCCTCATTATATCTTATATCATGTTAATACGGTTCTGCTTGGAAACTATCGTAATTAATTCTAGTGAAATTCATTACGATGGGCTAATGGACCTGCTTTCATCCTCACCAATTATCCCTCACTGGTGCGCTGCCAGCGTATACCGATAGCGCAGGCGGGGCTACCATTCCATTATCACCCTTAAAAAAATGCAAATTAGAAACAAAATTATATCTAAAATTTTCGAACCATCTTTATTTAAATAGTTTATGAGCATACTATTATAAGCCAAGAAAAATATTGAAGTTATCAATAAATATCAAGAATTATCCATGATGGTTTTATGAAGAGATCGCGTGGAGGCCGACCTGACAGGGTATATTGCTAAGAATGGTGACCAACATCCCCGTTCTTAACAATTCCTCTCTCTCCTGATTACTCCATTAGGCATTAGTCGTGAATTTTTTTCTACTATTAAATATCCCTTTTCCAGGTGGCAGCAGAAACCTCAGACCAATACAAGCGGTATATCCACGAGAAACGTAAGCAGGAACGCAATTGGCTGGAGTACAGGCGGTTTCAAAGGACCTTGGATCATCACCTCCGGTGCAGGCAATTGGTTAACAGTATACGCTATAAGGAACAGCGAAGCGCCGACTTGCTCGCTTGCAGAGACGACAAAAAGGTGATAAGATAGACATTATAGACGTTGTCGTATTAGGCGTTAACTTTCCACTGCTGAATGGGGGGGGGGGGGGGCAGCAGTTGCCACGCTTGGCAGGCGGGTTGCCAACTGCGGTCCAGTGTTTTATGATGTTTTAAGAGAGCTGCCCATCCCTCGATCATAACTCGCTTAGTCGCTTCTTACGACACCCATGGGAAAGGAAGTGGTGGCCTATTCTATACCGAAACTATACAGAGGAATAACACCTGAGTCCTCAGGAATGGCAACGCATGAGTGGTATCATGGGCGAAACAATATACTCTGTTATGTCCATGGTACTGCTCATGTTTATAGGCGACGGTTACTACTTTTCATCAGGTGGATCGTCAGCTTATTTGTCATTCTAAGTTGCATAAAATAAAAAAGGCTTGCTCAATAATACCATATTACCAGTAAGTAGTAAGGATTAACAATCTATTTCTTTCAGATATCAGAGTTAATACATAGAGCGCTGGAGGAAGAAGCGCGCGCGCATCTCGCGGCCGACCGGCGCATACGGCTCGACGCCGCTGAAGAGTTTCGAAAACGCGTGGATCTAGATGACGCCGAAAAACGAGCTGACGAGGCGAAGAGACGACGGAATGCTCTGTTGAGAGACGCTTCGCAGGTAATTATATTAATAAATCCACCAAGCCCTCTAGATAAACGGCAAGCGAATTTATCGATGGAATCGACATCACTAATGTGTCCGTGATATAGAAGGAGATAGCAACGTCGGATGCCTTATACCAACTAGTCTAGAGGGCCAGTTTGTAGTTTTTTTTTTTTCGTGGGATGATAATAGAATGGTAACCCCGCCTGCGCTACTATACGCTGGCAGGGCACCAGCGAGGAATGATAGGTGAGAATGAAAAGGCAGGTCAGTTAGTCCATCGTAATGAATACACCTGGATTTCAGTACGATGTACAGGGGGAACCACGGGTAGGTCTACGTTTTTTTTATACCATTAAGGTGGTAAACTAGCATACTGCTCATCTGATGGTAAGCAGTTACCGTAGTCTATGAACGCCTGCAGTACCATCGGCATTACGTGCGCGTTGCCGACCCTGTAGATACATCTTTACACCTTTTTGAAGAACCCCGTGCTGTAGATTCTTTGGGAAAACCAGACTGGGTGTATTGTTAGCAATGCGACTGGTATCCTGCATTACTTTTCTTCCCCCCCCCCCCCCCTCATACCACATGTATAGGTGGATTATTCTATATACAGGGAGTAAGGGACAGGTTGACCAAAACTGAAACAGTGAATTCAGAGCATTATTCTGAATTGAAAACCAGTGGAAATTATTTTTGGAAAATTTCAATTATTTCTCATGTTTTTTTTTCATTTAAAATCATGTTATGTACGCTATTATATTATAATATAAAGAAATAATAATATTTTAAAGTGAAATACTATGACATACCGAAAAATAGCAAATTCGTATTAAAATCCTACCTCGACGCGCGCACGCGCAATCAACGCGCGGTCAACGTCACAAGCGTTCGAAAACTAGCTACGAAGAAGCATGCTTTGTAGGTATCACTGGTCGTGTGGATCGTAAACTTTTGAAATATAATGCACGACGTCAAAACTAAGAATCGTTCATTATATGGCTGTGGTGCTTTTTCGGTGGCAAAATAATCTGCCATCTGATTCAGACCATTGATCTAAATCAGCTGTTTTCGTTTTAGCCAACCTGTCCTTTCCACTCGGTATATAATCTAATATATAAAATTCTCGTGTCGCGGTGTTTGTTACCAAACTCCTCCGAAACGGCATAACCGATTTTTATGAAATTTTGTGTGCATATTGGATAAGTCTGAGAATCGGCCAACATCTATTTTTCATACCCCTCAATGATAAGGATGACCCGCCCCTTAATATTTTTTTTATTTTTATTTTATTATGATTTTATTTACTATTGAAAAAAACATGCAAATTCAAATTTTCACGCTTTTACGATCAACCCCTGTTTTTTAATCACGATTTTTATATGCGGCAATAGGGTTGCAAGATGGCAATCGAATATAATAATTGTAGTGGGATAAAATTTCATGTATAGTTCTCGAAATAATGTGTATGGTAAAACAACGTTTGCCGAGTCAGCTAGTGTATTTATAATATAAAGATTCATTTCGTAAAGCGCGCGGCAATATCGAACGCGCTAAGTTCGTGGGAGTCGTCACTGCTGCGTAGCGAGGCGCGAGAAGCGCAGTACGTGCGGCTGCAGGCACTGGCGGCGCGCGCGGCGCGGCGGGACGCTCGCCGCGAGCGGCTGGCCCGAGCACGAGCCGCCAGCTGCGCACGCGCACGCCGCCGCGCCGCCTTCACCGCGCACTTGCGGCAGGCCATCAGGGACAGCTAGCTTGTATTGACACGCTCACTACCACCACAGTATGCAGAAATCACAACTCGAGGCAATACCACCACCACCTGATGGAAAGTGGTAACCGTCGCCTATAGACATGAGCAGTACCATGCCCATAACAGAGTGTACTGTTTCGCCCATGATACCCCCCATGCGTTGCCATTCCTGAGGACTCAGGTGTTATTCCTCTGTGCCCTGTAAATTCACGCCATATCCCACCCTTCAAACCGAAACACAGCCATGCAAACGCAACTGCTTTACGGTTGAAACACGAATGGGAGACCGTTGATGTCCATTTTAAAATAGATTCAGTAGAAGACAAATTGTGATTATTTAAGGCAAAAGTGTATGTAATAAGTCTTTTAAAGGTGGATAACCTTTTCTGCATTTAAAATTAAACTACCTTAAAAAATACCTTGATTTGTATGAAAGTGTTACATTTTGTTAATATCTGTAAGTCTCCAAACGAAAAATTATTATTTGTAACATATTGCGTTGTAAAACATTCAGGGTCAAAGTGAGTCCTGTATCGTAAATGAAAGAAAACTTGTGTAAGTCATGTATTTATGTTTTTTTTTTTTATATACACTGAATAAAAAATTATTAAAGTTGTTTTTCTTTCTCTCCCATATTTTGTAAACTTATATACTAAGGAATATAAATCCAGCCTTGCTTAAGTGAGAGTTGATGCCATCCGTGTATTCCACATTTATTTAATCTGCTACCCATCACCAGAACCATCTTTCCCTGGACCATTCAAGTCCTTAGTAGCGGCTGCGAGCTTCGCCCTCGCCTTTCGATACTGACGCAGTACAGCTTCCGCCCCGAGAAGTACAGCTGATGCTGAGCTGGTGCTGGGGAGTGGAGTGTACTCGACTCTAGGAATGTGGGTTTGGGACATAATGTTCCACTGAAGACTGATGGTGCCGGTAGTTGTGAAGGTGAAGTTCGCGTCCTGCAATTATATAAATTTTGATATTTTATAAATTTTCCTTCAAGAGTTCAGTTTTACATATTGCGTTCTCTAAATCAAAACAAGAACGTTCGCAGGTCGTCATATCATCATCATTATTGTATTTTTTTTAATAGGTGATAATGGAATAGTAACCCCACATGCGCTATCGGTATACATCGGCGGTGCACCAGTAAAGGATGATAGGTGAGGATGAAGCAGATCAGTTAGCCCATCGTGATGAATTCAACAAGAATTGTTGACGACGGTTTCCAGGGAGAACCACGTGGAGGTCGACCTGATAGCAATGGAGCTGTCAAACTCCCTTTTTAACAAACAAATTAAAGGGTGGGATATGGCAGTGAATTTACAAGCTACAGAAGAATAACACTCTGAGTCCTCAGGAATGACAACGCATGGGGAGTATCATGAGCGAAATAGTATATTCTGTTACGTCCACGGAACTGCTCATGTCTATTGGCAATGGTTACCACTTTCCATCAGATGAGCCATCAGCTTGTTTACCATTCTAAGTTACATAAAAAAACTAAAACACTAAAAGTTTTAAATTGTACAAATTACCTGCAACTGCGGTTTGGCCAATACATCCAAATCTTTGATCAAATGACATCCACCGACAAAGAATCTGCGACCCTCAGCCTGCACCCAATCTTTTTCTTCCGGACGAGAGCAAGTTAACCGCTTGTGGTAACTCCCGAGGTCTAACGTTAGAGGAAGATAGCTATATCCCTCAGAACGATGTCGACCCCACCAGTCAGTTGATATGACTTCGAAAAATATCTGAATTGGAGGTGGCTCTGTAAATATGATCTCATGTTATAAAACGTTACATCTATTTTATAAATGAAATTTGATCCAAGTTTGACTTTTTTTTATATAAGAATACGACTTCCACCGTATGATCCCGATGTAGAATGGGGCTTCCCTTCCTTTCCCGTGGATGTAGTAAGAGGCGACTAAGGGAACTTACTGGTCAAGGGACGAGCATCCACCTGTCATCCCTTACTGGTGCCCCGCCTACGTACACCGTTAGTACAGACAGGGTTGCCACTCCATTATCATCCATTAGAAAAAAAGCAGGGGATGGCACACATGATGATGATATGTGCGTTATGCAAATATTTTATCTAATTTTAATTTTGACTGACAAAATGGTACCCCGATTACTGTATCTTATTTGTGTCTATTACCGCAGATATAATTTTAAAGTGAGTGACCATAGATAGAATAAATACTCTTTATTGCTTCCTCCAAAAATTATCATAGTAAACTTATTATAAATATAAACAATTACAAGAAATGATCACAGTGAGAAAACAATGGACGGCCTTATCGCTAAAAGCGATCTCTTGCAGACAATCTTCTTTTTGAAAGATCTTTTGAATGGAGAGGAGTAATTATAAACAGTTGGATCGGAGATACGGCGTAAATTATATTTCTTTTGAATTTTAAATCTAAACGTAATGTTCTAAAGACGAAAATGTTTTGTTTGTAATGAAAAAATTGAATAAATTGAATTGAATTATAATTTTGTTACCGGTTTTTTTATATATATAAAATGTAAAATATTTGCATGCCTACATCTTTTAAGGCAATTAAACAGGTGCCAAAATAATACCACGTGACTTGTTATAATTTTAAACTGTTTAATGCAAATAAACTCATTTCATTACAACTGAAAAAAATACTTAACATTAAGAATAAGGGAGTAACATAAACTGTATTTTATTAAAAAATATCGTAAAAGCCGAGGTGGTTTGTTACTATTTAATATAGGTATATTGGGGAAGGGATTGATAGTAATGGAGAGGTTAGTCCCCATTGTTATCAATATACCCTATCAGATCGACTTCCACGTGGTTTCTCCTGAAAACCATCGTGATTAATTTGTCGTTGAATTCATCACGATGGGCTAACTGACCTACCTTTTCATCTTCACCAATCTGGGGTACACTGATCATACACTATATCGGCATACACTGACTGGTGCCCCGTCAGTGTATACCGATAGCGCAAGCGGGGTCAGCATTCCTTTATCATCCAGAAAAAAAAAGATATACCTACCTAAGTCTACTGGCATCTCCAGACCAAGGTCTATAATATACCCAAAGTTCCATTCTTCTACGTTATGTATTCGAAGCGCTTTGCTTGTGTGTGTCCTTCCATGTAGATCACCATTACAATGAATTGTTTCTGGAATCTTCATACGATTTTAAATTTGATTATTTATCATCCTTTCCCATGGGTGTCGCAAGAGGCGACTACGGGAACTTAATGGTTGGGAAATGGGCAGCAACTCCCTCTTACATTACCAAGGCCTAACTGCGGTAACGGAGGGGGGGGAAGGTTTGTTATTAATGGGGTCTAACAACCCCCTTTCTAGCAATATACCCTATCAGGTCGACCTCCACGCGATTCCCTCCGGAAACCATAGTGGTTAATTCTTGTGGACTTGTCACGATGGGCTAACTGACCTGTTTTCATCCTCACCTATCATCCCTCACTGATGCCCCGCCAGCGTATACTGTTAGCGCAGGCAGGGTTACCAATCCATTATCGTCAATTAAAAAAATTTAAATAAAAGAATCTAGAAAGTGAAGGAAAAATTATTTTTCTACACTATTGCTAATCGTATTACACCAGGCGCCACCTACCTTTATATTATATTCAAGGTAAAGATCGTCCATATCAAAACCGGATGCGGACTGTATGTCGAGCGAGACACAATACACTCTCTTGTCGAGAGGAGGCATCGAAAAACTCGTCAAGTACTTGTGCCTCTTTTCCCATTTCTTTAGTAATTTCCTTAGCTGAAATTAAAATGGTGACTTTATATGCATAAAAAGAAAAAGAAACGGGGATTTGCATCAACATTTACATGGATTTAACATAAACATATGAAGAAGGAAGGAGAAGATGGAGGATTGTTTAGTACCGGAGTGCAGCTTTCAGCTGTAAACAAAGATGTACCATCATATTAGCTATTACTGTGTCTACTGCTGAAGATAGTCCTCTCCCATTGATAGTCATAAGCAAGCCCTTAGCCACCTGCATCACTGACTTCTTGCAATGCATTTGGAATCATCACTCCATCCAGTGAGAGGGTCGTCCTACATTGCGTTTGAGTACAAGCACGACCCTTTCTTGCCCGTCGGTTATCAGTTCTTCGAGCTATATGACAAGTTCATTACCACTTCAGCTTGCTTTTTCTTCTAATGTAAATGTCTAAGAGTACATACTTTATATATATATATATATATATATATATATATATATATATATATATATATATATATATATATATATATTTAGTACATACTATAAACCGTCTTTCAAAAAAAGTGTTCATGCTCACTTTTTTACTTTATCCGAGCACTAAGTACTTCATATTATTCTCAATTTCGTGTATAATATAGTATATATCATATATGTGTAAGTATATTTGTTATTTATATATATTTATTCGTTTATATATGTAATTTTAGTATATATGTATATCGATAATTAGTAGTACCGCATTCGAGTATTATGACACTTCCCTATGGTTGACTGGGAGAGAATGCTTTTAGCATTAAGTCCGCCATGTACACATATATGTACTAATGAATAAATAAATAAATACTCATTATTATAACACTGACTACTCCTTTAGGAATTATAGTCGTAAACAACATTTTTATTTTACGAGTAAGTATTTATATTAAAATAGTCTTTAAAAATTATGGCTTAAAACACTGATTTTACCTTACGTGTAGGTACTTTATTTTTTAATAAAAAAAAAAGTTTACTTACTAAAATTGTCAATTCTTCCGAGTTCCCCATCTCCTCAAAGTCCACATCCACAGAGTACTCGTACCCAAGCGGCACACCCAACACTGTCTCCGCAACATACGGGTTCAGTTCCAGATCATTCACATCCGGAGACAAAATAAGATAGTTGTGCATTTTGTTATGGTAAAGAGAAACTAGAGGAATCTCTTGCCTCATCAGAAGTTGAGAGTCCCTGAAAATTTTATGACTGTTGCAAGGAGACAAATATTGAAATAAACATTGCAGGTGTGCTGCAATGCCTCTGGTGTCGCGGGTGATCATGGACGGCGGCACTTACCATCAGGTGAGCCGCATGCTCATTTGCCCCTTGTGTTGTAAAAAAAAATTAAAAAACTTTTTTTACGATACTTAGAATGGCAAACAAGCTGGCAGCCCATGGACAGTACCATGAAGATAACAGAGTACACTATGTCGTCGATGATACCCCCCCTGCGTCGATCGCAACTATTAGTCCAGTCGATCGTGGCAAGGCAAACAATATAATATTTAGCTAATCTAGCTGAAGATGCTCGGACGCAATGCTCACGCTAATATAAATAAATAGTTGGTAAGAATAATTTTCAATTTTATGTTTACCCTGTTTTTAAAATAAAAAATACTACAATAATATAGAATGCTGTACTGAATTACGTCGTTTCATTTGTGATTTCAAGAAGTATGTAATTGGTAGATCGCACAGGGTTTCGTTACTAAACAGTAGATCTTGGGTCTAGGTAAGTCGGCCACCCCTGCCCTACACAATTTAGTGTTTTAACTCAATCTGAAAGAAAAGCCATAGACTTGCTCTCATGAAAATCAGCCCTGTAATTTTGTCTACTCTCTAAGATGTTACAACAGTTGTTTGTGATATGCCAACTTCGAAAACAAAGCTCCTTTTTATATGTTGTCAATTTTTCAAAAGAGCCAGCCCATCCAAAACTAAGTCTTGTAGAACAAAGCATGTTATTTCCCTCCCACCAACAAGACCTTTCCGCCCTTCGTACACCATTCTTCAACCTCGTAAGACCCAATCTGTTAATTATAATAGTAATTTGTCTGCCATACTAATCTAATCTAATTACCTATAGGCAGTAATGTCTCTACGAACTTCATCTAAAGTGAATACATAAATCAGTTACTAATGTTAATTTACTAAGAACCGAAGTTAAAAGAATTAAAGCTAAAATTGCAGGTACAGTATATTTAAATATGTGTGTAGATCCTCCAAGTGTCTAAATCTAAAGTATTTGGTATTTGTATTGGTAAAGTATACTATATCTCCTTTTCTTTATTCTTCATTCCGGGATATTTTGATCTCTGAAGATTTCTCTACTGTTTTCTGTCTCACTCACTAATTTTTTTATATGGATATTTTTAACCCAATTTTTTTATTCTAAATACATACAAATCTTTCCCTGACAACTACAAATACAACAAATAAAAAAATTGCATATATAAATAGGTATAACCGTTTTGAATTGGTACATATACCCAACCAGATCGACCTCCACGCGAACCACCCTGGAAATTATCGTGTTAAATTCGAGATGGGATTCACGATGGGCTAAATGACCTGCTTTTTCATTCTCACCTATCACCACTCACTGGTGGTGTATACCGTTAGTGCAGGTGGTGTTAACATTTCATTTACATCTATTAATAAACTTTATTTTTACATACATACATACATATTTGTCACGCCTGTCTCCCATTAGGGTAGGCAGAAACAATGGAACGCCAAATGCTTCGATTTAAACTTTTTCGCTTCTTCCACATTCATCAATCTTTTCATACACGCTCGTCGCTTACGGGTACTTTTAATTTGGCCCTTCTTCAGCACGTCGCCTATTTTTTTATTATATAATAATATAGGTGGATACATAATAGACTGAAATCTTAATAATTAACATTCATTTATCTTTGTACAGTTTTCAGACTAATATTTTTTTGAAAAAAATATTTAGTTTCAGTGATAGAACACACCTATCACTGAAAGAATGCTTAAGATTCGACTTCCCATCTATATTTATTTATTTATTTTTAAATATATATAAATCTTACTCGTTGTATTCCGAATTATCCAACATCACGTGCATCGCAGTCCATTCATCTTCAGTGTCTATATTCTCCTCGCTTCTGAACAGGTGACCCATTGAACTGGTCTGATGAATGATATCATCAGCCTTCTCATTCAATCTGAGCATATTCATACACGATGACAGATCAAATTTCTTCTCCTTCCTTATACTATTAGGAAACGGTAAATGGTAGTCGTCATGAATGTAAGTGAAAACTTTCGAAGGCTCGTGTGATGTGTTCAAAATCATGTTGTGGTACGTGAGTTCGGTGTCCGTGATGCACTTGTGTACATCCGAGTATTGCACCAGTTCTCGCGTACAAAACGACTTTTCCTGCCATTTGAATGGGTACTCTTGGATTTTTTCATAATGACTTACGTTCGATTTGTTTGAGAACTCCTCTAATTTCGGTAATGATATCAAACCGTCTTGAGGTTTGAGTTTTACTCTGAAAATGTAAATCAAATGTGTTTAAATAGAAATTAGTAAGGTTTTGAAATTAAGAAAGTTTTTGTGGATGTAGTTGGAATGGTCTATCCCTCGATGGTTAAGGCCATATTATTCTTATGTAGGTAGGTATACAATATTAGAGCACTAATGGAGGATTTAGTCAAGTCAGTTCGACTATCATAATTAATTCAATACGAATTAACCACGATGACTTTTATATTTTTTTTTTAAATAATACGCACTGCCTTTTAGCGTGACACCGCTCGCCATCGACAGGGAATTTATCCCTTTACGCTTGAATCTAAATAGTCACGTACAGTACAGTTTAAAGGAGTTTTCTCTCGCGAATTCTCAGGTTGTGGAACGAGATCTCTACAGAGGTTTTCCCTGGAGACTACCGCGTGGGGTTTTTTAAAAAGGGTATATTAAGGGTTCTTCAGGATCAGCAACGCACACGTGACATCCGTAGCGTTGCAGACGTCCAGAGGCTACAATGATCGTTTACCAACAGACGGACTGCATGATTGTTTGCCACCTTCGTGGAAAAAAAAAATTAAAGTAACAAAAACTGTGTATTTTATTGGAGATAATGGATGCAGACGGCTCAGGACAGTCCCTTATGGTAGTCTGTAGGTCAGTCATATGTTCAGCAATGCTGGTTTTTCATTTAAAATTTCTATTCTGATTTAAAATGATGATGAAAACAGTTCGGCATGGTCGCATGCGCAAATTTAAATTATCTTTATTCAAATAAACTTATTTACAATCTCTTTAAGATTCTATGCGATATTTTCACCAAACCAGAGGGAGATTTTGTACAAGTCGTTTGACTGAGTACCTTTATCCCGTTCGTGTTTCGACCTATCTGTATACGCTGGCGGGGTTCTAGTGAGGAATGGTAAGTGAAGATGAAGCAGATCAGTTAGCCCATCGCGACAATTTCAACAATGAACTAATCACTGTGATTTTCAGGGGGAACCGCGAGGAGATCGACCTGTTAGGGTATATAGGGTTGCTAATCCCCATTACTAATAATCCCTTTCCCCCCTCATCATCATAACAGCCCTTAACCGTCCACTGCTGAACATAAGATTTCCCCTTGGGGTTTTGCCAGTAGTTGCCACGCTTGGTAGGTGGATTGGCAACCGCAGTCAGGCTTTAGAAATGTTTTAAAAGGGACGCTGCTGCCCATCCTTCGTCGTCCCTTAGTCGTCTTGCACGATACCCACGGGAAAGGAAGGAGTGGCCTATTTTATGTCGGCACCAAACGGCCACTATATGGAGTGACGACCTCAAATGCATTGCAGGGAGTCAGTGGATGCAGGTAACTCTGGACCGTTTCTTAGGGCAGTCTGTTAAGGAGGCCTATGTTCAGCAGTGGATAGATAACAATTGAGATGATGTTGATAATGATTGAAGATAATATTTTACATAACAATCATAGTTTTTGCGAGACATTTCGAATCTAAATATATGTAAAATGACCACTAATTTGTACCATAGACTCTTGTAAAAAATCGTTATCAGTATTTTAGAAATAAAAAAAAGGTAAAATCTGGCCCCTTCTTATAACTTTTGAATAAACAGAAAACACAGAACCGCGTACAACGCGGTTTCAGAGATGTTTTCTCCCACGAACACTCAGGTTATGGAATGAGCTCCCTGCCGAGGTTTTCCCAAGAGACTACAGCATGGGGTTCTTCAAAAGTGGGGTAAAGAGGTTTCTTCAGGGTCGGCGACGCGCGCGTAATACCTCTGGTATTGCAGGCGTTATAGGCTACGGTAACCGCTTACCATCAGGTGGGCCGTATGCTTGTTTGCCACTTCAGTGGTATCAAAAAAAAAAATGCGCTATAAACACAAAAAAAAAACACTGAATACAGTCGACTTTTCACGTATGTTCCATCACGCTTACACCTTAATGGAAGTAATAAGTGAGAGAGAAAAAGCATGCTTTCCTTAATCAAGCTTACAGTGAAGGGATGTCGCCCCCTTATCTATTTGTCGTTTACACTATCCTACCTTTTTTTTATTTACAATTCTTTTTAGCAATTCTTATATTCAATATTAAGAGATTAATGTTTAAAGCGTAATTAGAAAAAAATTAACGAATAGGTGGTGTTTATCTAATTTATTTTTATATCCACTTAATTATTTAACAATACTCTTAATTCATAAAGGTCCATTAAACTAATTTCACTTTAAAATGTAAAAATAAATTAGAACTTTTTGTTTATACTCCCGGTAAATCCGCTTCGAGTTTTTATTTTATATGACCTACTTCTCTATGTTTCTAAGATATATTCTTAGCATATATATTATTATGTTTACTCTCTTATATACACAATCTATATAATTTATAATCTGAGATCTCTGTTCATCACAAAATAATGTCTTATTTAATAAAATTTCTAATTACCTTATTTTAATATTTTCCACGGAACCTTTCAACCAATACACTCCTGTAACTTTATTATTTCGAATAAAATCATTCATTTCTTTTTAAAAATTCACGCATCTAACTTTATCTTTTTATGCTTTTCCCTTTGTTATGGTTTGTTGCTATGGCAACTAATATAACCTACAAATTAATTTCGAAACTTTTACCTAACTGAAGAAAAGTAAGTTTTAAGATATACCTACTTCTACTATAAGTAAACCGGTATACTTCAAGTATTCAAAATAAATTATTGTTTTTTTTATATATAATTATTTATATAGATACCTTTTGCACAAATGTTAGTATAAGATAAATTATATATATACAACATCTTTGGATTAAGCGACTCGTTCAAACAGGTTGAAACACAGATGAATCTGTCTTTTTTCTTCTTAATTCAATTTTGCCTTTTCATGCCTACATTTTATTTCTATGGTGCCGCAGCACCATAGAAATAAAATGTCATAGAAATGCTGCTCTACTGCCGTTTTAAAATAGCAACAAACGGTTATTATTTTTCTTAAGTTACCAGATACTGAATAATTTAGCCCTTTGAAAGATGCTACTTGCCACATATACAGAGTAAAGAATTGAATTTAAATTTTTATTTTACTGTATTTAGATGTATCAGTCATATCGTACTATGTACTATACTATGTAGCTAGCTTAAGTTTTTGTTTATCGTGCTTTTTGATAAAAAGGCAGAAATAAAATACTATGATTATTCCGTGTTAAGTTTATTAATTTAATAGCTTATGGCACCAAATTCAATTTACAATATATGCATGTATATGCATGCATATAGCATCAGAAAATTGTCCATTTTATTTCGCTCATACTCCCATGTTCTGTTTATAATGTGTTTCGTTATGTTACTATCAATACATGTTATATCTATTCGAACCCACAGACGTAGTATACCGTAGTCACGTTTATGTCTGTAGACAGTACAGTATCCTTAATCTGTGTTTGAATAACACTACGTCCCCTGCATATTCCCATTACTATTGATTTTGCCCAAATCAGTTGTTTACTCCATCCACAAACTAATAGACGATCGGTAGGGGGAAAGGATTTATTAGTAATGGAGACTTAGAATCCCATTGCTAGCAATAAACCCAACCAGGTCGACTTCCTCGCGGTTCTCCCTGGAAACTATCATGGTTAATTCCTAATGAGTTTCATGATGGGCTAACTGACCCGTTTTCATTCTCATCTATCATCCTTCACTGGTGCTCCGTCAGCGTATCCCGTTAGCGCAGGCGGGGTTACCATACCATTTTCCCCATCAAAAAAAAAATCCAATAGACGATACTAGAACTACTACTAGTACTACAACGTAGAAAAACATTGTACATATAAGAGCAATGAAATGACAATGAATGACGAACAAAAGTGACAGATGTTGAATTGACATTTATACAAAATGGCCGCTGGTGTCAGAGAAACACGAATGGTTAGAGGGGTGAGGGGAGTATGTTCTAACTGTCACCTATGTTTATGCTATGACCAATCACATGTAACACCTACGCCTAGTGTTTTTTTAACGAAGATTAATACCCGTGATCACATCTGTGAGATTAACTGCAGTCCACAAGTAAGAGTCAATACCTCTGTCGCTCCCCTCTCGCGAGCTTGGAGTATCGTCTGCACTCGTCCCTGCATACGCGTCCGGTGAAGCAGTAAAGGCCACCCACGGCCAACAGCAAACACATTCAGAAAAAAAAATGTGAGAGTAACTGAACTGCACGTGTTTCGGAAAAGAATTTCAAGTTAGACAAAGGTAGGCAACTTTTATATATAATCTTTTTTACAAGAAATATTAATTAATTGACATTAATTATTTACGATATTAAGACGATATCAGACGACAAACAAGTACCACAGCTAATAAATGTGTATAATATGTTGCTATCATAACATTTCCCTCTAAATTAAAATTTAATTTATTTATAAAAATTTACGATAGGTCAACTCTGAGGAGCTATTTCCCTAACTCGCTAAAATTAAACTTTTCATAGATATAAGTAAAAATTGTTATAAATTTAGTTCATGATGATTTATAAAATAGAAATTTCATAATGGCGCCTTGAAATCGACCACGACAACGACAACTCTGTTTCCTATGTCAAAGTATTCTTTTTCAGGAGGGAAAGGGATTGTTAGTAATGGAGACTGAGAATCCCATTGCTAGCAATATACCCAACCAAGTCGACCTCCTCGCGGTTCTCTCTGGAAACTATCATGGTTAATTCCTGATGAATTCATCATGATGGGCTAACTAGCCTGTTTTCATTCTCATCTATCACCCTTCACTGATATTCCTTCCTATGATACCATTTTCCCATTTTGATTCTAAATTTTTTTTGATACAGAACACTATCACATTTTTAAATTCTGGTAAATATTTTGTTTTTATTGAAATAAAATTTTTGTTTGTCTACATTTTAATGTATTTTCTACTCGTCATAATTTATAACTTTAGATTTAAAATTAACTAGGACAATAAGGATTTGTGAACTATGTGCCATAGTAACTCAGCAGAAGACAGTAAGATTATTCTATGGTGTTGTTTTGTATTGCAACAATGCAAGATGTAAATCTATGCCTGTATCGGAACATTTGGTATTCTTATTTACAATTTTTTACTACATGTTGAATTTTTGCATTAGAACATACAAGCGACGAGCGTGTATGACAAGATTGATGAATGTGGAAGAAGCGAAAGAGGTTTGTTTGAATCGAAGCATTTGGCGTTCCATTGTTTCTGCCTACCCTAATGGGAGACAGGCGTGACAGATATGTATGTATGTAACATACAAGCGTAATTGGACCATTTTTAAATTATCTTGAATTATATACCATTATCAGACATCATTTTCAATGACACATTCTAACCAACTAGGTCAATTTAGATCATTACCCCATTACAACTAAATATTTATTTCAAAACATTAATCAAGATGATGAAGTAGTTATCTATGACAAAAACTAATTGATTTTTTTTATTTTAAAGTAAGCAATTTCCAACTCTGCTCAGCGAAAGTTATATTTATGATTAAAAATATAAATTTTGAGGCAACATTGGTTCTGGAGGACTGGTCTTTTGATATGATAAACAAGTATCGCAGCTTTGAATTATATTTTTAATATCATATGACATAAATAGCCAATATATTTATTTATTTTAATACATTCATATACATAATATAGTGTTGTTACAATCTTCTTATGAAGAGTAAGTACATGAACCCCATTTAGATATATTTAAATTTAATCGATAGGTAGCTAATATACATGCATCAATGTCAATATAGATATTAGATCATATTTAATTACTTTTACAAATAATTGCTCCTTTTATTTGTATTTTCTACTGCATATTTCTATACATATTTTAGTGAGTATGTAACAGTGGTTATTAGTGAAAATAATGTAAAAGTTAAAGTTATTATTGTCCAAATTAAACATACAAATAATAATATAGCACTAGCAAAATTGTATTGAAAATACATAATATAAATATATTTATATAGGTAAGTACAAGAGATATTATTGAGTATAACGCAAACTATTTAATGGAATTCATATTAAACTAAAGTACACTGTTATGACTACTACATAAATTTTAATAATTTAGAAGTCACATGAAAATGGTAGCTGTTTTTAATAAACAGCTACTATTTTCATGTGACTTCAAAAAGGAGAATTTAAATTTGACTATAAATATTTTATTCAAAGGATTTTTGTTATTTGACTGATTGCTTTCGAAATGAAACTCTGAAGATGCGTGTACACTTTAAATATAAATTTGGTACCAGAATTAATAAAAATAACCGCCATTTTATTTTCTTTGTTATTTGATTTATTGCTTTAAAAATCGATATCTGAGGTTCCGTATCCGTTTCAAATGTAAATCTAGTGTTAGAAATAATCAAAATAGCCGTCATTTTATTTTTTATTTGAGTGGTTGCTTTCAAAATCGATATCTGAGAATTCGTACACACTTCAAATGGAATTGTCAATGTTCACGTGAACAAAATGGCTGCCATTTTTATTTGAAGTGATAAAAGTATTTATTTGGATAAGGGATAACGAAATAGCATTAAGAATTTAAACTTAGGATAAAATACCATTAAATAATTTTAACATTTCATCGATTTAATTACAATTAAACTTAATTACAACAACTCATATTTCCCGTTCCTATATGTGGGTATTTGAAAAAATTCAAAGATGAATACGTGTTTTTAAATACAAATTTTTAAAGAAATGTTTTAAATCTACAAAGATTCTTAGAATTAGTAACTTATGAGTAAAAACATTTAAATTATTCGTAATAAATAATAAAATATATAAATAAAGTTTGGGCTTCGCAAATATAACCATGTATCTATATATATTTAAAATCGCTACGTACTTATTTATTTTTAATACTTTTTACCCAAAGGTTGTCTATAAAAGATTGCTTAATAATAAGACCGCCTTTTGTACTACATTGTACTTATCTAAAATTCTTGAATTAATCCTGTAATGTTGGTGCAATAAAGTGTTAAATAAATATTAGGTATAATGGAATTTTTATCCGTATATATTTTAAGTTACGACCTTAATCTATTTACCTCTAAAGTTATAATTTTTAACTGGTACTGTCACGTACACAATTGTATCAATAAATTGACCCGCTTTTTTCGAAACATTTGTATGAAAACACTCTATCTGTATAATCTAAGGGGATTACCAAGTTACAAGGTTTTACAAATATAGATCCGTGAGCCAGTTTTACACAGGCAAACATGACAGAGGGAAAATATAAGAAAAGAGTTATAATAGAATTCACTGAGTGAATAGAAAAAAATCTGAAAAAAATACTTTTTTTTTTCAGATTTTTCAGAGCCTTTTTTCTATATCTACTATGTTTCCTGTATATAGCTATGATACATATGATATTTTAGTGAGGTATATAATATATTCCTGTACCTTCAGTGAGTTTATCTTTCTGATGAATACGGATACGCGCCCTCGAAGACCACAGCTTTTTTTTTTACAACAGGGGGCAAACGAGCACGCGGCTCACCTGGTGGTAAGT